TACTAATATATAATATGCCTACTAACTAGTACTACAGGTATGTATGGATCTCACTAGTAGATAATATATTACTAGTCTAGAGGGTCATGTATTTGTTTAAGCTTGATTCGCGCTAATCCTGGGTTTACTTCTTAAGAAACCTTTGGAGTTAACCAGTGAATAATGCTAATTAGCYTTTGAATAACCACGCAAGGTGTACAGTATTTGRCATTCATTACATGATCCCTCTATGTCATTAAATAGAGTTTATCAAATAGAGTTATCTACAGTAKTATCATCTTAAAAAAAGATTTGCCTTCCCATGTCTCCAAATTTGGCAAATATATCAGGTGATAATAACTTAAGTGCAGGGTTTATAACCCGGGAGTAGCAGACTATGCTACAAGATTACCATGGTTACCTAGACTCTACAAATAGCCATCCCTAATTGGCATACATGTAGTTGAGTACAATATTTTAATAATACATGCAATAATATTGTTTGTGAGGAGGTGGTGAACAACAACAACTCAAACAAACAAACAAACAGAAACTGAAATCTTGATTCAGTTCAACTCAAATGACCAATAAACTAATTCAAACTCATTCCAGTACTAAAGCCATGTAGAGCTACCTTAAGCAAATGGTGCAAACAAAATGTAAATAGACCAACCAGAAGATCAAAGGGGAATATCATTGATCTAGACTAGCGTTAACTCACCAAAAGTTTTTGTTGAGGGATATTTAAGTCCTTTGTTGCACTGTAATGACGACTRGATATAATTGGTGGTCCTTAAATARAAGCATATATRTCAAGTTRCTATAATTTAAAATGCAATAATAGGAAGGGAGTCTAGAAAGGAAGGTACAAAGTTTTCAATTCCTTAGGAGTGTTGATAACTGTTAAGATGGCACCTTTTTACCAACAAAGTCTGATATTGAGATTTCAAATATTGTTCCAATTTCTAAGATTTTGTACATTTTCAAAATACTAGCCCTAGGGTAGAAAAGTTTCATTTTCCAGAATACTTTTGATCTGGCAATATGCTGTGAATGCATTGCGAGGAATATTTAGGAAACACCGTGCCTTGTAGAAAATATTGCAAGAKTGTATTCGTGTAGTTTATACGAGATACCGGAAATACAAGCCGAGGATTGATTAGAGCTTGATAACTTCGTGCATGTAATTTCCGCAAGAACGATAAATGTACAATAAACTATGCAAAATACAGCTTTTACATATAACGCATTTAACAGCTTTTAGCTCTAAAATAAAAAGTATAACATTGATACGATATTTGTTTACATTTATAAACTGATTGCATTTTAAAATAACTATAGCATAATCTTTTTTAGCCATTTTAAAAGTGTCGTTTTACCAATAACTTAACTTAAATTCTCCCGGCAAATTCTCCAAAGAGTGGGAATTTGGCGAAAATACCAAATGTTAAACCTTTCTTTTACAAAGAGTAAAGGATTAACTTTCAACCAAACAGAAATTTATTCAAAACAGACGGTGAACAGATGAAAGTGTTGGATGCCCACTAATATAATGTTCTGTTAACAGCTGATATTACATGTACAGTGTTTACCGTGAAAAACAACTGTTAAAGAAAGATTAAGACATAAGGGTTTCTTACCTGCAATTCCAATAAAAACACTACACGAAAAGGCAATAATAAATGCCACAAAGACCATGACAAACTGCCTTTTTGTTAGTGTATATAGCCTCATTTGAACAGTGCTGCGAGACACACAGAAAACACATTAATACCAACTTAACCAGAGAAACATGTCTCCACACAAAGAATAGCTACTTTACTTACGACTCCATGTCTTTAACAGCCATTTTGGTGTGTATCAGTACATATATTCACGTTGGATTTACTTCATATAATTCCACGTCCATCTCTTGCTTTGGAAATAATAACAAGCGACTCGTCATCACCGTGCAGGGGATTGGACACTAATTCACCCACAATTCCAAAGAGTCATCAACTTACTACATTTTMAAAAAAGTTGACAATAAAAATGTAAGAAAGCATCCATCAATTCAGTTCAAAATACTCACGGTTCTTTCCTCTTCCTTACTCCACTCCCCTCTCATACCTCCATAATTTTTTGAAGCTATTCAAAACCAGAATATCCTATTGGCGTTCAACGATGTGCAACCATGGCAATGTCTATGCAATTTTGACAATAATCAGTCAGCTTGTCTTACTGTAATTTTAATTCAATATGAAAAAAATCGTTACCGCATAGAATTATGTGTGTACTGACTTGTACTTTTTTGTACCATTTGCAAGWCCCGGCTTAAGTGAAATTGATATTGACACAAGTAACCAATATTTTTTTATTTATATTTATGTTAATCATCCTTGCGAACATTTTAAGATAGATGTATATACCGTTCTTGTCATGGTGTTCTAGCACACGTATGAATTCTAGACTAGCTAAAGTAATGATATAAGAMGAGAATTTTACAATTCGGTGAGAATATTTTCATATGGTTGAATTCCAGACCTTAGTACAAAACTGCTAGTAAAACTGCAACAAATGGATATAATGAACATGTTACTGAGTAGCGCTTTCTTCTGTCGTAAACTACAAATAGAAATACAGCATCGTCTGAATATTGAAATTGTTCTTTATATATATATTAATGACGAAWATCGCTCAAGTAGGGCATCAAAAGTACAAAAGACAATAGCTTGATAGCTGAAGGGATAGTTTCGTAAGAAGCCAGTTCTAATTAAACACAAGACCTCTTGAATCGTTATGCATAACAAATCTGCACTGTGAAAGCCCACCAATGCTGAATAAAAAACACCATCTTCTTCTAATGATCCTCAAAAAATGCCAAACGAAAAAACTCGCATTGCAAGGATTTATCTATGCGCAGTGTCAGCAAGCAGTCATTTTTTGACATGAGAAGGCTTTGTTTTTCTCCTGTTAAGTGCCTTAATGCCACCTATCTTCACGTTGGCTATTCATATACGGACCTACACTGAGTTGTTTGACCAGGCAGCCGTGCAATTTAAACTCGGATATTTCTCAACAGAATCCTTTATCTAYCTACGATCTGCGATTCACTAGCCAGTGTGATCATCTAGACTGCGTCTTCATGTCGCTTCCTGGCAAGAATGGAACGGGAAACAGCCCAAGGGAGGGCAAACACACCACAAGTCAGAAAGACAATGGAGTCGGTTCAATTCTAGGAGGACGCCCACATGGAACCGCTGCTAAAACACAGTCATCTTTCACTTGYGAGTTTTGCTTGAAAAGTTTTCAGAGGAAATACACATTGAAGAGGCACCTTCGCTCACACATGTCGAATCCTGAGCGTTTTCGGTGTGAGGTGTGCGGCCGAGCGTACTTACATCGATATCATCTTAAAAGACACGCTAAGTGTCACGAGGTGAGTGGCATATACTGGTACGACACACCGTGTGATCAACAAAAATATTATTATTTCTTGAGCTCAAAAGTAGACGGAAAGCACGTCTTAGACGGCTTTAAAAACCACAAAAATGCTAACTTAAAAAGCAACACTTTTTCAGCGATCTCGACGCTAGTAAGCTGACGAGCTAGCTGTGTCTTGTCTAACTTTTGACTTATCATACAGTTGTGCATATATGTAGATGGAAATTTTTCCACGTCTTACAACGTCTTTTTATTTTACTATGAGTCGCCACGGTCGAAACAAAACAATTGTYTCAGAAACACTGAGGGGCGACCAGTTCAATTAATATTCGCTGAGATATAGAACTATATACCCACAGTCGGAAAAAAGGAAAAAAAGACAAAAAAGAGTACACTGTCCTTCATCTACACTCCGGACAAAAAAAAAAACAAAAAAACAAAAAAACGACTAAATTCACTGTATCATAAAGCAACACAACACTATGATCTATGGTCGTATCGGGTAGTACAGACGTACTCGTACACCATGGGCGAGTAGCATACGGTTTCGAGTACTTTAAAATTGAGAACACCGGACAAAATCGAAACAAAACAAGAAAAAATAAACACAAAAACAATAAGATGAAAATATATGAACTTCCTCAGTATGGTTTCTGCCGATTATATTTTCATTTTTAGTAAAACACAGTAACTACACTGTTATATTTTTTCTTCTTTTCTTTCTTACTGACGATCGACTCTGACAGGCCAAAACAGCTGTCCAGGGCCTTTATAGTTTACAAAAAGTTGTCAAAGGCATCAGTAATTTTTTTTYCAGTTSTTTATAATTTGTTTATTATGTGATATGGATTGTGTTCATAGCTATATTTCCGAAATTTCGGACGAAAGGAGTGCCCAACAATGAAGGCCAAGGTAAACGAGACTAAATGTCCCCAGCAACGTGACTTTCCATAGTTATTATTGAATCATCGACTATCTTGGGTGGTTAAATGGTACCCTCATCTACATAATTTAATAGCGAAAATTTATAAAAAGACATTGAGTGGTGTTTGACAGAATTTATAGTCTATACATTAGTTATAGTTAGTATAGTTTGTGTAGTTTTTAGTATATAGTTATTAGTAGTATAGTTTGAAACTATAGCTGTCMATCCAAAAGTTTTAATGCTGCATAAAGAACATATGATTGATTTAACATTTGCTTCTGAGAGCACCGATAGCCGGTCTGTTCTTGCATTCAACATCGAAAACGATTTACAAACTCTTATGTGTAAAAAGGACAAGTTTGCGTACAACTAAGAAATTACTGCAACGCAAAGCCAGCCTGCAACCGCAACTAGTCGCGTAAGGTGTTGTGCAAGCCTATTCACTCTGCAAGGCCCAAAAAGCACTTGTAAACGAAATATACTGCGAATCTACGTGGTTTAAAATGTGTTTTCTTTACCAGATTTATTTCCRTTTATCGGGGAGTTAACAGTTCTCCCCCTTAGCCCCCTTTCATCATGTTGGGCCATTGTTTTGGATGCATGGTTGTGTACTATGGTAACATGATCAATCATATCATTGTATTTAGGGGGTCAGGGGGGAGGAAAGTGTTTGAGGGTGTTGCTTAAAGTGAGGAAATTCGCTGGAAAGGTCTAAGAATTTGGTCAACGATTGTAGCTAGGTGAAAACTGATAATTGCTGTTTCCTCAGTTAGTCAGTTCTTTACAACATAACTGAATGTAAGGAAACATGTCATGCGACCCATGTGCAAGGACAACCCCCCCCCCCCCCACAAGCTTAAAAGGTCCAGTGTTTCTCAATTTTTTATTGATTTATTAAAATTCTTTTGTTGTTAACCGTTTTTGACATAGTAATTTGCTTTGAACTGCTCATACTAGCAGCCAGTTCTGCTGTGCATTGATCTAATTTAGTTTAAGATTTCATTTAGGTCCGCATTATGAAAAAAACGAGCCCCACTTCCCATTTTTAAGACAGCCTACGGGCCTGGAATATGACAATGCACTTGCAGGGTTTGGCACTAGTATTTTCATTGGTCGATTCAATAATAGAACAATTCAGTATAAGAACAAAATTGGAATGAACGTTGTCCCGATTCAACAACAGCAAAATAGAAAACGTCTGCATGATCCATGTGTTTGTTTGCGCTATAGTTTGGGTCTGTTGTGCACTAGTTTGCACTATTTAATTGCTTTGCGCACTTGCGATAATTAGGCTTGCGTTGTGCTCACCAATGAATCTAATTTGTTTACTTCCGTCATGGCTGAATCAGCAGTCTTAGAATCATAGGTGTGCCTGTTTGGATAATTGAAGTGCCGATAATTTTCAAATCACTGAATTCTCTCCRCTTTCTGAATGGATTCCATCGTACAAGTCTTTTCTTGGGTTTCTACGGTTCCATGTAGTACCCGTCAGTCTTTTCGGCCGTCTTGTGCTGAATGCTATGAGAATCCCAATTCGACAAGCTACTATATATCAATGAGATATCCGACGTCATTATAAGTGGGACCGGAAAGAGTTTTCTTTTGGTCTGTCGCCCAGATGAGCATATGTGTACAAATTAWTAGATAAGTACTCTCGCTGGRAATCGCACAAAACWTACAAAAAGTGTTGAAGAGAAAAGAATTTTATAGTTAAATTATGCTTTTTGAATTGTCAGTTCTTTGTTTGTTTATTTTCATTCAAAATTTCAATTCAAGTTTTATTTCCGCCAGACTAATCGAGGAGATTTCCGGTTTGTTTTGCTTTTTTGACTGAACGCACTTTTTTTGTACTAAAAATTCCAGTCATACGTAAATTGCGAAAAGAGAAAAGAGCCTGAAAAAGAGCCTGAATCAAAGAATTCATATCACACGATCACAATTCTCTATAAATCATTGTATCAATATGATTAAAACTGTGCATGTCATATTAACTCTCATATAAACATTATTTGAATCACTTTTCCGTACTTTTAACGGTATGTGCCGCCTTGCCGTATAGTTAGTAATAGTATACGCAGTGGTGAAACTATTGTGCTAAGATATTCATCAGTAGGTACTTCATCACATATTCGCTCTACAAAAACTCTTTGAATGCTAATTCAGCCATATGTYGTGATTATTATTCAATGTGCCAAATCGGTTTCCGCTTGCCGACGAACACAGTTCACCCGACGTGAATTTCCAATATTACTTTGAAGTTCTATAGCAATGCCAAGAGTGAAGTCTCAGAGAAGACGTAAGAGAGATCAAGCGAGAGCTGCGGCGGCTAAAAAATGGGAGAGGGAGAGAAGAGGAAATATTAAGGTAAGACAAAGCGTTGACTTAAGCGTTCTTCTGAAAGCGAAACCCATGCGACAAGTAAGAGATAGGGAAAGTCGTTCTTCAAGTCAAATCAAAACTAMATTTTAATTCAGTACTTTTGTCWGAAACAATTCACAAAAGACTGTTCCCAGTGGAAAGATCTTTAAATTGTAGCATTTTTAGCTCGTAATCACGGGGATTTTAACTAGAAAAGTACTTGATATTTCATTTGTTTCTACTTTATGACCAGGTGAGTCGCCCGTGTGAGTCGGTGATTTGGTGAAGTGACTTCTCTCTCTCTATTAACACCAGGACGAATGGTCATCTAAAAATATTTTCTATTTACTTCAAATATATATTCTTGAAATAATTTGATGATCTACTTTGTCACTTTGATTTCTTAGTTTTTGTTCATCCATTTTTCATGTTGATATATTAATTCGGCAAAATATTATCCACTATAAGGAAATATCTGCTCCACGAGTTTCGACGGCTTAAAAAATTGTAAACGTCTGCTGAATCAAAGTGTTTACACTTTTTTTTGATATTTATGATTATCGCTACACCTTTCGCAGTAACAATACATTTTTTCAATGAAATAACTCTGTTAATATAGATTTATCCAAATCACTGAAGTTGTGTAGCGCGTGGAGGAGGATAGGAGCCTGTACGACTGATGAAGGCATGTGACGTGATGCACTGACACACAATAAATCAAATGTGCAGAGTTCTGGAAAAATTAGGTTCGCAATAAATTAACTCAACGCAATTCCAACTTTACATAAGCTTCAGTCAGCTAAAAAAAATGCTAAATCCACTGAAAGCGCTATATAGTGGATTTAGCARGATCTAGATCGGATGAGAGGCCATGGATTTTTGTTAGCTTTCATAATGAAGTTCATTGCGTGACGTGACAAGGTTGTCCTTAGATAAGGAAGATCTGTACGTTGGTGAGGTATTAAAAGGCCCAATCTCTACATCTTGTTCTTACATACAATGATGATCTATTCGATGGAACCTGCCCTTTTCTTTTTTTCTTTTCGTTTCTTTTTTTTTCTTTTCTTTTCTTTTCTTTTCTTTTCTTTTCTTTTCTTTTCTTTTCTTTTCTTTTCTTTTCTTTTCTTTTCTTTTCTTTTCTTTTCTTTTCTTTTCTTTTCTTTTCTTTTCTTTTCTTTTCTTTTCTTTTCTTTTC